CTCTGGGTATCAACGCGACGATTACGACTCCAGTCCTGCCACTGCGTCAGCAGATCCCTGATGCGTACGAACACGATCCGTTCTACGCCAACATCATTGCGCACCTCCGTACTCCGAGTGCAGAGTCATCGAAGAAGCTGACACGCCCTACGCGCAGTCACATCGAGCGATACCAGCTCGATGGTCCGTTGTTGACATACACGATGGACGCCTTCGATCCTCCGCGCGTCGTCATCCCCGCCGATGACGACCTTCGTGCTCGTCTCGTCCACGAATATCATGACGCCCCAGTGGGCGGCCACTTGGGCCGCGAGAAGGTGTTCGCGGCGATCTCGAGGGACTTCTATTGGCCTCGGATGTACAAGTGGATTCGCAAATGGGTTCGGACTTGCGAGACTTGCCAGCGCGTCAAGCCAGCTCCATCATTGCAAGCTCCGCTGCGCCCGTTGCGTATCGCCACGGCAGCGTGGCGATCCGTCAGCATGGACTTCGTCTTCGGCCTTCCATCGGACGACTAGGGCCGCACGGGCGCCCTTGTCATCGTCGATCGCTTTAGCAAAATGGTCCGTCTTCCTCCAGTCGAAGCCCAAGTGACAGCTGAGGCGACTGCGTCCCTGTTCCTCGACCTCGTATTCCGGCATCATGGCCTCCCGGAATCCATCGTCTCTGACCGCGACCCTCGCTTCACATCGACCTTCTGGGATCGATTGTTCGAACTGCTTGGTACGCGCTTGTTGATATCGACGACAGCTCATCCTAAAACGGATGGGCAAACGGAGCGCGTCAATCGAGTCGTTGAAGATGTCCTTCGCAGCTACGCCACGTCGTTCCCGTCGTGGAGTACGTTCCTGCCGCTCGCCCAGTTCGCTATCAAAACCGCAGCCCATGCGTTGACAGATGTGACGCCGTTCTTCATCAACAACGCGCGGCATCCGCGCGTTCCAGCGACGCTCGCCTTCGGGTCTTCGTCCGGCTCTGCTCCCTCCACTCTTGGTGGGGGAGGAATGGATGCAGTGCCGAGCCGCCCGGCACTAGTGTCGAGTGAAGCCGAGCCGCGAGAGAAATAGCAACAGCACTGTGGCGCCGGTTCCACTGGTAGCAGAACCGGTGGGCGCGGAATTACCGGTAACGTCAACGGCTGCCGTGTGTGGAATTGCATCACGGACGTGTTCGAAGGCAAGAAGGCCGACCGACACATCGCCTGCTTTCGCCCCTGTCGGCCCGACGGCAGCCAACTTCGCTCCTCGCGAAGCTGCATCGCCGATCGACTCCGCAGCGGTATCGGAGTTCATGCTGCAACACCAAGGAATCTCGAGATTCGTGCGTGATGCGCTGCAGTCTGCTGTGGACAAGCAGAAGGAGTACGCAGACCAGCGAGGCCGGAAGATCATGAGCGTCTTCCGCAAAGGTGACCGAGTCCTGCTGTCGACCACCGGAATTCAATCGACAGCAATTACGAACCTTGGCGCGAACAAGCTGGCGCCAAGATACATCGGTCCATTCAAAATTTTCAAAGTGCTGGGAGACGCTTACACGCTGGACAAACCGACCGCAATGCGTCTTCACCTTACGTCGGGCGCCTGAAGCCGTATCTACCGGCCGAGATCCCCGACTCGCACCATCAGTCGCGCGGGCGAATCCAAAACACCAGCGCCAATGAAGATGGACAGGATGGGGACGACAACGACGAAGACATCGCTGTGCAGCGACAACCCGATCGCGTGCCTACCCGATCGGTGAATGCGGACACCGTCGAGAGACGCAGAAACCTCGGGTGAGTGCGATAATCCTGCTGAGATTGACGCGCAATCTACGCCACTGCGCTCACGAGCGTCCGGGCGCCCCACGCAAGACGTGTCCGCGCACGAGCCAACCGCACCGATATCACGGCCGAGCCGAAGTATCGAGACGTCTCGACAGTCGTCGAAACCGACGAAACCAATGAAACCGGCGACGCTCCAGGACGACGGTTCAGGCGCGACTTTTCAACTTCAGTGTCCGACCTTTCAACGTGATGGTCCACCCCCGCTGATTGACGCGTCCGGCGCTCGGCGCTGGATCCCCGAGCGCATTGTCGATCACGAACTGCGGCGGAATCCCGAGGCAGACTCTCGTGATGGCGCGGGATCGTCACAGGTGCGACGACGACGCAGGGCCGCGATGGAGAAGTACTACCGAGTCCGCTGGCTTGGGAACCCGCCAGCGGAGGACACGTGGGAGCCTCGTAGCCGACTGATGGAGGACATCCCAGACGTCGTGAAAGAGTACAAAGCCACATTCGCGCTGGTCTCCGACGGGGACAGCTGGACCGACGACCACAAGCTCGTAAGCGCGATCGCTCACGAGTGTGCGCCACGAGTGTCTGGACTACGACGCCGCCCTCGACACCAGCATCAGCCACGAGGATGTTGCGAATGGTCGCGACATCTCCGATGGCTACAAAAGACCCGCGCGTGTCGACGCGACCAAAGAACACCCGACAGCGACACCTCCCAGTCGCTCCACCCGAAGCATCATGTTCCCGACTGGCTGCGCGTGCGTTGGGATCCTCCCAGCCCGCTGTTTATTATATCTTCAAGGAAATTAGTTCCTACACGTTCATTATTGACACACATTACTGTAACTCGGCCACTGTCCGAGGTAACTGCATATCCACGAGGCCCTGAACGCGTTCTGGGGTAATTCTTGACTCTTGTCGCCGAGATGATTCGACCACACTACTTAACCTCAGTAGTGAACAGCTGACACTTTTTTGCGTGCAACTTTAATTATATACTCCTCACAACGCGACAGGACCTGGTCCAAAATCTCCAACAGCGACGTCTCGTCCGCAGCAAAGCCCAGGATGTCGTCGAGCCACGCTAGAATAACATTGTCCACCAGGTCGCCAAATATTTCCTCCACTACGCCTTGACAGAAGGCGACAGCATCCGTCGCACCCGTCGGAACGCGCGTAGGGGCGTAGATGCCCCGATTCTTGACGAACGAATAGATTTTTTGCGAGTCCGGGTGTAAAGAGCTGTCAATAACCCCTGAACCAGTCTAGCACGAAGAAGACGCAGGCCCCTTGGAGCTCTCCGAGCACCACATCGATCACTGGCATGGGCTCCGTTCGCATGGTGATCCTGGGGCCTGCGGTGAGATCCGTGTCTTGCTCTCGCTTCGGGACAATCCTCCGAGCAGAAGCCCACCGGCTTCTGTGGTTCTTGAAGGTCAGACCGTGAGAAAGGTGATTGGCCGTGTGACGGTCCAAGAACGCCCGATCGTTTGAAGAATAACACCGGGGCTGTACTCGTGCGAGGGGGGGGATTGGGTTTCAGGCGCACTTACATCGGTGCAACACGCAGCAGCGGACCGTTGCCGAACTCAAGACGAAAACAGCCAGCGCTAAATTATACAACATCTTTCAATTTTGTTTGTACATTGAGATCCAGCTCCATACTCGTCACCACCTCGATCTTTCGATCCGTGTGGCCACCTGCAGTCGATAGATGCACTCTGACCCGCGGTGGGCTGGGGTGGGGGGGGGTCTTTTCCGCTTAAAGAGGATCTGTGCAGCGCTGAGCACGGAGCCGGCGGTGCAAGAGGCTGAGGGGGCGTGGCGATCGCGACGCAAGAAGTCAAGAGCGCAAGCGCTGCAAGAGCGGCGGATCCAGCCCAAGAGTGACCAGTCGCGGTACTGGCGCCCGTGCGAAGCTGGCTGGAACAGGCCACTTCCGCCGGACGCACGCGGAGTGTTGTTCGGGGCGCCGCAAAGGAGGTGAGTGGTGGGCGAAGATGGGGATCCAAGGCTACGCGGCGGAGTGAATGACGGCATGCGGAGTGATCAAGTGGGCGGTTGTGTGACCAGGTGGTCCAGCACTACCTACGATGGTGCCTATCGAGCGGTGCAGAGCGCACCGTGGGGAGCACAAGTTCCCGTTGAAGCAGAAGACGTGGCTGAAGGGTTTTACCCACACGAGGGAGAAGCCAAAGAAGGCGTCGTACGCCGAGCAAGTGTGCGATTTCAACAAGAGAACAAGCAAGGACAAGCGACATGCCCAAGTAGAGTGCGGCTCGACGCAGTGTCAGCCGTAGCACGCAAGCCAGTCACGCGATGACAGCCTGGGAACGTCGGTCACGAAGTCCCGGGGCATGAAGCACGACGCTTAAGATGCAGCAGCTTATCAACAACCCAGCTCGTTCATTAGGGGGCAGTGCAGTGATGTGAATCGGTATTATCCTGATTTACTAGGAACACCCCACTTAGATTTATTCTAGAAAGGACGAGTAAATCATGTTTTGCCGTGGTGGATTTGGTACTTGGGAGCTCGAAAAGGTATTAAAGGTGACTTGATATTTGTTTGGGTTGACTGTTGCCCCCCATCCCACCCACCCCATGTGAGGTAAACTTGTCCTAGATTAGGACGAATAGGCAATATTGTATACGAATCGGTAATATTCTATGTTTGTGCTAAAATTTTGTCCTGTAAGAGCAGTCTAAGGACTATCGCCTGCTGTAGACAGTGGCAAAAGATGCTATATTCTGACTCAATAGGTAGTCGCCTCCATGATTTTGTATTGACTGGGTGTGTGAAGGGAAGGTTACGAATAGTGCTTAGTAGAAGTGAGTAAACGTGCACTCCTGCACTTTTTCAAGGCTACATTTACGTTTGGTGGAGTGCCGTTCCGTCGAAGACAAACGAGCCGACAGAGATTACACAAGGTATCCACGCCAACCAATGGGAGCGATTATCATGGCTGGATCCGTGGATGGGATGTAGCAGCGGGTCAGCACGGCACCGAGACTGTGACGAATGCCCAAAGCGGCGAAAAGAAGAATGGAGAAGCAGCAAAGAAGAGCAAAAGATGTTCCCACACCGGGACTCGAACCCGGGTCTGCTGGGTGAGAGCCAGCTATCCTAACCGCCTAGACTATATGGGAAGGCTGAACACCATCGCCACCAACAAACACACAATCAAGACCAACAACAAACAAACACAAACACCAAACGCACCACCTACGCACGCTGCCACACGCAACGCGAGCGCGTTCATCCTATCGCCACCATTGATCGACCGACCATTTCGACACGTACTGCCCACATCCGATCCAGCCACCGACGGGGTCGCCTCCTTCGCATTGCACGCAGCTCCGAGCGTCGCATTCGTCTGCTCGCACCGCAGCTCGCCTGGTCGACCAGCTCTCTCGCGGCTTCATTGAGCTGCTCGCTCGCACGCGTTTCCGCACGGTCGCCAGCGCCGACAAGTAGGCCTGCACGCGCCGACCAATGGCCGGACAGACTCGAGTACCTCCTGGTCGTGCGAGCATGGTTGGATCCGTGGATGGGATGTAGCAGCGGGTCAGCACGGCACCGAGACTGTGACGAACGCCCAAAGCGGCGAAAAGAAGAGTGGAGAAGCAGCAAAGAAGAGCAAAAGATGTTCCCACACCGGGACTCGAACCGGGTCTGCTGGGTGAGAGCCAGCTATCCTAACCGCCTAGACTATATGGGAAGGCTGAACACCATCGCCACCAACAAACACACAATCAAGACCAACAACAAACAAACACAAACACAAACACCAAACGCACCACCTACGCACGCTGCCACACGCAACGCGAGCGCGTTCATCCTATCGCCACCATTGATCGACCGACCATTTCGACACGTACTGCCCACATCCGATCCAGCCACCGATCGGGTCGCCTCCTTCGCATCGCACGCAGCTCCGAGCGTCGCGTTCGTCTGCTCGCACCGCAGCTCGCCTGGTCGACCAGCTCTCTCGCGGCTTCATTGAGCTGCTCGCTCGCACGCGTTTCCGCACGGTGGCCAGCGCCGACAAGTAGGCCTGCACGCGCCGACCAATGGCCGGACAGACTCGAGTACCTCCTGGTCGTGCGAGCATGGTTGGATCCGTGGATGGGATGTAGCAGCGGGTCAGCACGGCACCGAGACTGTGACGAACGCCCAAAGCGGCGAAAACAAGAGTGGAGAAGCAGCAAAGAAGAGCAAAAGATGTTCCCACACCGGGACTCGACCCGGGTCTGCTGGGTGAGAGCCAGCTATCCTAACCGCCTAGACTATATGGGAAGGCTGAACACCATCGCCACCAACAAACACACAATCAAGGCCAACAACAAACAAACACAAACACAAACACAAACACCAAACGCACCACCTACGCACGCTGCCACACGTAACGCGAGCGCGTTCATCCTATCGCCACCATTGATCGACCGACCATTTCGACACGTACTGCCCACATCCGATCCAGCCACCGATCGGGTCGCCTCCTTCGCATCGCACGCAGCTCCGAGCGTCGCGTTCGTCTGCTCGCACCGCAGCTCGCCTGGTCGACCAGCTCTCTCGCGGCTTCATTGAGCTGCTCGCTCGCACGCGTTTCCGCACGGTCGCCAGCGCCGACAAGTAGGCCTGCACGCGCCGACCAATGGCCGGACAGACTCGAGTACCTCCTGGTCGTGCGAGCATGGTTGGATCCGTGGATGGGATGTAGCAGCGGGTCAGCACGGCACCGAGACTGTGACGAACGCCCAAAGCGGCGAAAACAAGAGTGGAGAAGCAGCAAAGAAGAGCAAAAGATGTTCCCACACCGGGACTCGAACCGGGTCTGCTGGGTGAGAGCCAGCTATCCTAACCGCCTAGACTATATGGGAAGGCTGAACACCATCGCCACCAACAAACACACAATCAAGGCCAACAACAAACAAACACAAACACCAAACGCACCACCTACGCACGCACCACACGCAACGCGAGCGCGTTCATCCTATCGCCACCATTGATCGATCGACCATTTCGACACGTACTGCCCACATCCGATCCAGCCACCGATCGGGTCGCCTCCTTCGCATCGCACGCAGCTCCGAGCGTCGCGTTCGTCTGCTCGCACCGCAGCTCGCCTGGTCGACCAGCTCTCTCGCGGCTTCATTGAGCTGCTCGCTCGCACGCGTTTCCGCACGGTCGCCAGCGCCGACAAGTAGGCCTGCACGCGCCGACCAATGGCCGGACAGACTCGAGTACCTCCTGGTCGTGCGAGCATGGTTGGATCCGTGGATGGGATGTAGCAGCGGGTCAGCACGGCACCGAGACTGTGACGAACGCCCAAAGCGGCGAAAAGAAGAGTGGAGAAGCAGCAAAGAAGAGCAAAAGATGTTCCCACACCGGGACTCGAACCGGGTCTGCTGGGTGAGAGCCAGCTATCCTAACCGCCTAGACTATATGGGAAGGCTGAACACCATCGCCACCAACAAACACACAATCAAGGCCAACAACAAACAAACACAAACACCAAACGCACCACCTACGCACGCACCACACGCAACGCGAGCGCGTTCATCCTATCGCCACCATTGATCGATCGACCATTTCGACACGTACTGCCCACATCCGATCCAGCCACCGATCGGGTCGCCTCCTTCGCATCGCACGCAGCTCCGAGCGTCGCGTTCGTCTGCTCGCACCGCAGCTCGCCTGGTCGACCAGCTCTCTCGCGGCTTCATTGAGCTGCTCGCTCGCACGCGTTTCCGCACGGTCGCCAGCGCCGACAAGTAGGCCTGCACGCGCCGACCAATGGCCGGACAGACTCGAGTACCTCCTGGTCGTGCGAGCATGGTTGGATCCGTGGATGGGATGTAGCAGCGGGTCAGCACGGCACCGAGACTGTGACGAACGCCCAAAGCGGCGAAAACAAGAGTGGAGAAGCAGCAAAGAAGAGCAAAAGATGTTCCCACACCGGGACTCGAACCGGGTCTGCTGGGTGAGAGCCAGCTATCCTAACCGCCTAGACTATATGGGAAGGCTGAACACCATCGCCACCAACAAACACACAATCAAGGCCAACAACAAACAAACACAAACACCAAACGCACCACCTACGCACGCTGCCACACGCAACGCGAGCGCGTTCATCCTATCGCCACCATTGATCGATCGACCATTTCGACACGTACTGCCCACATCCGATCCAGCCACCGACGGGGTCGCCTCCTTCGCATCGCACGCAGCTCCGAGCGTCGCGTTCGTCTGCTCGCACCGCAGCTCGCCTGGTCGACCAGCTCTCTCGCGGCTTCATTGAGCTGCTCGCTCGCACGCGTTTCCGCACGGTCGCCAGCGCCGACAAGTAGGCCTGCACGCGCCGACCAATGGCCGGACAGACTCGAGTACCTCCTGGTCGTGCGAGCATGGTTGGATCCGTGGATGGGATGTAGCAGCGGGTCAGCACGGCACCGAGACTGTGACGAACGCCCAAAGCGGCGAAAACAAGAGTGGAGAAGCAGCAAAGAAGAGCAAAAGATGTTCCCACACCGGGACTCGACCCGGGTCTGCTGGGTGAGAGCCAGCTATCCTAACCGCCTAGACTATATGGGAAGGCTGAACACCATCGCCACCAACAAACACACAATCAAGACCAACAACAAACAAACACAAACACAAACACAAACACCAAACGCACCACCTACGCACGCTGCCACACGCAACGCGAGCGCGTTCATCCTATCGCCACCATTGATCGACCGACCATTTCGACACGTACTGCCCACATCCGATCCAGCCACCGATCGGGTCGCCTCCTTCGCATCGCACGCAGCTCCGAGCGTCGCGTTCGTCTGCTCGCACCGCAGCTCGCCTGGTCGACCAGCTCTCTCGCGGCTTCATTGAGCTGCTCGCTCGCACGCGTTTCCGCACGGTCGCCAGCGCCGACAAGTAGGCCTGCACGCGCCGACCAATGGCCGGACAGACTCGAGTACCTCCTGGTCGTGCGAGCATGGTTGGATCCGTGGATGGGATGTAGCAGCGGGTCAGCACGGCACCGAGACTGTGACGAACGCCCAAAGCGGCGAAAACAAGAGTGGAGAAGCAGCAAAGAAGAGCAAAAGATGTTCCCACACCGGGACTCGACCCGGGTCTGCTGGGTGAGAGCCAGCTATCCTAACCGCCTAGACTATATGGGAAGGCTGAACACCATCGCCACCAACAAACACACAATCAAGACCAACAACAAACAAACACAAACACAAACACAAACACCAAACGCACCACCTACGCACGCTGCCACACGCAACGCGAGCGCGTTCATCCTATCGCCACCATTGATCGACCGACCATTTCGACACGTACTGCCCACATCCGATCCAGCCACCGACGGGGTCGCCTCCTTCGCATCGCACGCAGCTCCGAGCGTCGCGTTCGTCTGCTCGCACCGCAGCTCGCCTGGTCGACCAGCTCTCTCGCGGCTTCATTGAGCTGCTCGCTCGCACGCGTTTCCGCACGGTGGCCAGCGCCGACAAGTAGGCCTGCACGCGCCGACCAATGGCCGGACAGACTCGAGTACCTCCTGGTCGTGCGAGCATGGTTGGATCCGTGGATGGGATGTAGCAGCGGGTCAGCACGGCACCGAGACTGTGACGAACGCCCAAAGCGGCGAAAACAAGAGTGGAGAAGCAGCAAAGAAGAGCAAAAGATGTTCCCACACCGGGACTCGAACCCGGGTCTGCTGGGTGAGAGCCAGCTATCCTAACCGCCTAGACTATATGGGAAGGCTGAACACCATCGCCACCAACAAACACACAATCAAGACCAACAACAAACAAACACAAACACAAACACCAAACGCACCACCTACGCACGCTGCCACACGCAACGCGAGCGCGTTCATCCTATCGCCACCATTGATCGACCGACCATTTCGACACGTACTGCCCACATCCGATCCAGCCACCGACGGGGTCGCCTCCTTCGCATCGCACGCAGCTCCGAGCGTCGCGTTCGTCTGCTCGCACCGCAGCTCGCCTGGTCGACCAGCTCTCTCGCGGCTTCATTGAGCTGCTCGCTCGCACGCGTTTCCGCACGGTGGCCAGCGCCGACAAGTAGGCCTGCACGCGCCGACCAATGGCCGGACAGACTCGAGTACCTCCTGGTCGTGCGAGCATGGTTGGATCCGTGGATGGGATGTAGCAGCGGGTCAGCACGGCACCGAGACTGTGACGAACGCCCAAAGCGGCGAAAACAAGAGTGGAGAAGCAGCAAAGAAGAGCAAAAGATGTTCCCACACCGGGACTCGAACCCGGGTCTGCTGGGTGAGAGCCAGCTATCCTAACCGCCTAGACTATATGGGAAGGCTGAACACCATCGCCACCAACAAACACACAATCAAGACCAACAACAAACAAACACAAACACAAACACCAAACGCACCACCTACGCACGCTGCCACACGCAACGCGAGCGCGTTCATCCTATCGCCACCATTGATCGACCGACCATTTCGACACGTACTGCCCACATCCGATCCAGCCACCGACGGGGTCGCCTCCTTCGCATCGCACGCAGCTCCGAGCGTCGCGTTCGTCTGCTCGCACCGCAGCTCGCCTGGTCGACCAGCTCTCTCGCGGCTTCATTGAGCTGCTCGCTCGCACGCGTTTCCGCACGGTGGCCAGCGCCGACAAGTAGGCCTGCACGCGCCGACCAATGGCCGGACAGACTCGAGTACCTCCTGGTCGTGCGAGCATGGTTGGATCCGTGGATGGGATGTAGCAGCGGGTCAGCACGGCACCGAGACTGTGACGAACGCCCAAAGCGGCGAAAACAAGAGTGGAGAAGCAGCAAAGAAGAGCAAAAGATGTTCCCACACCGGGACTCGACCCGGGTCTGCTGGGTGAGAGCCAGCTATCCTAACCGCCTAGACTATATGGGAAGGCTGAACACCATCGCCACCAACAAACACACAATCAAGACCAACAACAAACAAACACAAACACAAACACCAAACGCACCACCTACGCACGCTGCCACACGCAACGCAAGCGCGTTCATCCTATCGCCACCATTGATCGACCGACCATTTCGACACGTACTGCCCACATCCGATCCAGCCACCGACGGGGTCGCCTCCTTCGCATCGCACGCAGCTCCGAGCGTCGCGTTCGTCTGCTCGCACCGCAGCTCGCCTGGTCGACCAGCTCTCTCGCGGCTTCATTGAGCTGCTCGCTCGCACGCGTTTCCGCACGGTGGCCAGCGCCGACAAGTAGGCCTGCACGCGCCGACCAATGGCCGGACAGACTCGAGTACCTCCTGGTCGTGCGAGCATGGTTGGATCCGTGGATGGGATGTAGCAGCGGGTCAGCACGGCACCGAGACTGTGACGAACGCCCAAAGCGGCGAAAACAAGAGTGGAGAAGCAGCAAAGAAGAGCAAAAGATGTTCCCACACCGGGACTCGACCCGGGTCTGCTGGGTGAGAGCCAGCTATCCTAACCGCCTAGACTATATGGGAAGGCTGAACACCATCGCCACCAACAAACACACAATCAAGGCCAACAACAAACAAACACAAACACAAACACCAAACGCACCACCTACGCACGCTGCCACACGCAACGCGAGCGCGTTCATCCTATCGCCACCATTGATCGACCGACCATTTCGACACGTACTGCCCACATCCGATCCAGCCACCGACGGGGTCGCCTCCTTCGCATCGCACGCAGCTCCGAGCGTCGCGTTCGTCTGCTCGCACCGCAGCTCGCCTGGTCGACCAGCTCTCTCGCGGCTTCATTGAGCTGCTCGCTCGCACGCGTTTCCGCACGGTGGCCAGCGCCGACAAGTAGGCCTGCACGCGCCGACCAATGGCCGGACAGACTCGAGTACCTCCTGGTCGTGCGAGCATGGTTGGATCCGTGGATGGGATGTAGCAGCGGGTCAGCACGGCACCGAGACTGTGACGAACGCCCAAAGCGGCGAAAAGAAGAGTGGAGAAGCAGCAAAGAAGAGCAAAAGATGTTCCCACACCGGGACTCGAACCCGGGTCTGCTGGGTGAGAGCCAGCTATCCTAACCGCCTAGACTATATGGGAAGGCTGAACACCATCGCCACCAACAAACACACAATCAAGGCCAACAACAAACAAACACAAACACAAACACCAAACGCACCACCTACGCACGCTGCCACACGCAACGCAAGCGCGTTCATCCTATCGCCACCATTGATCGACCGACCATTTCGACACGTACTGCCCACATCCGATCCAGCCACCGACGGGGTCGCCTCCTTCGCATCGCACGCAGCTCCGAGCGTCGCGTTCGTCTCCTCGCACCGCAGCTCGCCTGGTCGACCAGCTCTCTCGCGGCTTCATTGAGCTGCTCGCTCGCACGCGTTTCCGCACGGTGGCCAGCGCCGACAAGTAGGCCTGCACGCGCCGACCAATGGCCGGACAGACTCGAGTACCTCCTGGTCGTGCGAGCATGGTTGGATCCGTGGATGGGATGTAGCAGCGGGTCAGCACGGCACCGAGACTGTGACGAACGCCCAAAGCGGCGAAAAGAAGAGTGGAGAAGCAGCAAAGAAGAGCAAAAGATGTTCCCACACCGGGACTCGAACCCGGGTCTGCTGGGTGAGAGCCAGCTATCCTAACCGCCTAGACTATATGGGAAGGCTGAACACCATCGCCACCAACAAACACACAATCAAGACCAACAACAAACAAACACAAACACAAACACCAAACGCACCACCTACGCACGCTGCCACACGCAACGCGAGCGCGTTCATCCTATCGCCACCATTGATCGACCGACCATTTCGACACGTACTGCCCACATCCGATCCAGCCACCGACGGGGTCGCCTCCTTCGCATCGCACGCAGCTCCGAGCGTCGCGTTCGTCTCCTCGCACCGCAGCTCGCCTGGTCGACCAGCTCTCTCGCGGCTTCATTGAGCTGCTCGCTCGCACGCGTTTCCGCACGGTCGCCGGCGCCGACAAGTAGGCCTGCACGCGCCGACCAATGGCCGGACAGACTCGAGTACCTCCTGGTCGTGCGAGCATGGTTGGATCCGTGGATGGGATGTAGCAGCGGGTCAGCACGGCACCGAGACTGTGACGAACGCCCAAAGCGGCGAAAAGAAGAGTGGAGAAGCAGCAAAGAAGAGCAAAAGATGTTCCCACACCGGGACTCGAACCCGGGTCTGCTGGGTGAGAGCCAGCTATCCTAACCGCCTAGACTATATGGGAAGGCTGAACACCATCGCCACCAACAAACACACAATCAAGACCAACAACAAACAAACGCAAACACCAAACGCAACACCTAA